ATGGTGCTGCATTGTGGCCGACGGGACGGGACGTATGAGAGAGGGATGGGAGATTCTGTTTTTGAGTTCGGCAGAGTTTTGTGTGTGTGTGTGTGTGTGTGTGTGTTGTGGGTGTGTGTGTGTGTGTGTGTGTGTGTGTGTGTGTGTGTGTGTGTGTGTGTGTGTGTGTGTGTGATTGTTTGTCTGCCTCCCCCCCCCCTCTCTCTCTCTCTCTCTCTCTCCCCCTCCTCTCTCTCTTCTCTTTCATATTCCCCTTATTCTTTCTCGCCGAACGCCCACCCATACCTCCGTTTTTTATCCCACGCGACTTGACGCTTTTGTTTCCTTGTCATACCCACACATGCCCAAAGAATGCCCTGCTAACCGCATTAACCCTCTCCTCACCCCCTTTCCTCCCTTCCCTCTGTTTCTTTGCTGTTCTTCCTTACCTTTCTCCTTCTTCCTGTAATTCTCACATTCTCTCTCCTTCTTTTCTCTTCTCTACTCCCCTTTTCATCGTTCTCCCCATCTCCTCACATTCTCCTCCCATTCTTTCCTTTTTTCTATCCCATCCCTCCCCTCCTCCCTCTTCTCTACTCACTCTTCTCTTATCTTCTCTACCTTTCCCTTCCCTCCCCTTTCCATCACATCCCATCATGCTTCTTCCTTTTCCCTTCTCCCCTCTTTTATCTCCCCCCCCTCCCCTCCCCACCCATCCTCTCCCATTCCATCCCCCATTCTGGCTTGTTTACCCACGATGGTCACGTGTAGCAGAGATGCTCACAAGGCCGCTCTCATCCCCGTGGTCGGCTGCAAGCTTAGGTGTTTCTCGGATGCTGCCTCTTGCCCGCTGTTGCCTCTGCCTGTGCCTCTGCTTCTGTTTCTGTTTCTTTTCGCCTCTGCTTCTGTTTCTGTTTCTGTTTCTTTTTCGCCTCTGCTGCTTCTGTTTCTTTTTCTTTTCGCCCTCTGCTTCTGTTTCTTTTTCTTTCTGTTTCTGTTTCTTTTTTCGCCCTGTCTCTGCTTCTGTTTCTTTTTCGCCTCTGCTTCTGTTTCTGTTTTCTTTTTCTTTTTCGGCTCTGCTTCTGTTTCTGTTTCTTTCGTTTCTGCTTTCGTCTAGCCTTTCAGTTGCGTGATTTGCAAGGGAAGAGGGGGGAGGGGGGAGGATTAGGAGCCCCTTGAGGTATGAGAAATTTAGGGAGAGTTTGGGAACGGTAAAGGGAAGGGGGGGGGGGAGGTAGGAAGAGGTGAGAAAGGGAAGGAGGGATAAATTGAGGCAAAGGCTAAGGGAAATATGTACATGTGAGAGAAAAAAATGGGAAAGGGAGGAGAGGGACGGGAAAGTAAAAGAGGGAGGTAAGCATTAAGGAAGGAACCACCGCTTAGCGCGCCCCTGTATCTTCTGCTTCTACTTCTTCTTCTGCCGTTTGGGCGGTGTTTCCAAGCGAGAAGTTGGCTGCGAGGGGATGTTGTTCTCTCCCCCGCCGTGGCACTCCGGGCCGGGGAGAGAACGGGAAGGGGAGACGGTCAGGAGTGCCTGTGGGGAGGGTACGGGAGCGAGCGCCGAGGGGAGTGAGTCACGAGCGAAGGTGCGTTTATACCTTTTGTATGTGCGGGCGCGTGTGTTCGACGAGTGCGAGTGGGTGGGTGTATGTGCGTGCGCTTGTTTGTGTTTGTGTGAGAGGGAAAAGAGAGAAAAGGGGGAGAGGGAGACTGGGGAAAGAGTGCCAAAATCTGCGTATAAACTGTTTCTTTGAGGTTCGCCTCCTTATACCCCTTACCCAACTCCCCTTCCCCATTCCCCTCCTTCACAATACCCCCCCCATCCCAATATAACCCCCCTATCCCCATCTCCATCACCTTTTGGCCCTTCTCCCCCCCATCCCACCAACTTTGGCCCTCTCCTCCCCATCCCCATCACCTTTTGGCCCTCCTCCCCCCATCCCCATCACCTTTTGGCCCTCCTCCCCCATCCCCATCCCCATCTTTTGGCCGCCTTTTGGCCCTCCTCCTCCCCCCGCTCCCCTCCGCCCCTCCCCCCCAACACGAAGCGACGTCAGCGGTGTCGTCACCACACTTAATATAAACGTTGTCGCTTGCAAACAACCTTCTCCCTTCACCGCCGCCCGTCCCGTTCAGGGGTGCTGCTCCTTGGGCGCCGGGGCCTCTCGCGTGCTTGCTGATGATGTTTTTCGTGTTGTTGTTGTTGTTGTTCTTCGTCGTCGTCTTCTTTTTTCTTCTTTTTTCTTCGTCTTCGTCTTCGACTTCTCCGGCTTCTTTTTCTTCTTCTCTTCTCTTCTTCTTCTTCTTCTTCTTCTTCTTCTTCTTCTCTTTTCTCCGTCTTCTTCTATCTTCGTTCTTCTTCTTCTTCTTCTTTCTTCTTCGACTTCTCCGTACTTCGTCTTCTTCTTCCCGTTTGAGCTATGAGGAGTTGTGTTCTTTCGTCGTCTTCTTTTTCTTCGTCTCGTCTTCGACTACTTCTTCTTCGTCTTCGTCTTCTACTTCTTCTTCGTCTTCGTCTTCGTCTTCTTCTTCTTCGACTTCTCCGTCTTCTTCTTCTTCTTCTTCGACTTCTCCGTCTTCTTCTTCCCGTTTGAGCTGGGTATGAGGAGGAGAGGATAAGAGGCGGGGAGGGGGGGGAGTGGAGGAGGAGGAGAAGGGAGAGGTGGAGAGGGGGGGAGGTGGCGTAAGGAAGGGGTTGTCGAGCAGCATTAATGCCTCGGGATCTCGTGGCATAGTAAATGGGCATTGGGAGACGGTGTGGAGGGGTGCCTACGTTGGGGATGGGGGGAGGGAGGAGGGGGGGCTCGTTGGCATGGAAACCAGGCGTTGCAAATAGAGGAAAGTCACATTGCCTGGAACCGTGCAAGGTGAGCGAGGGTGTGGGTGCACGCGTGGGCAGGTGGGCAGTTGCAATATGCAAGATACTGGCACGTGATCTCTCTCCTCTCCCTCTCTCTCTCTGCTCGCCGCTCCTTCTCTCCATCTGTTTATCTCTTTTTAATCCCTTTTTGGTATTTCTCTCTCTCTCTCTCTCTCTCTCTCTCTCTCTCTCTCTCTCTCTCTCTCTCTCTCTCTCTCTCTCTCTCTCTCTCTCTCTCTCTCTCTCTCTCTCTCTCTCTAGATATATATATCGTTTTCTCCCATTTTTCTCTCCGTATCGGAAATTTCTCTAGCGTTACGTATGTTTTGTTATAAACACAAGCCAGCTTTATCGTTACGTGTTCCATGCTACGGCTGTCTCTCTATTATGAAAATGTGCGACAAAAGGATTTTTTCACTAGTGGCGCATGAAAGGCAATAGGTCAGCGATGTTGCAGAATGCTCTCATCGGAGGGGGGGGGGGGGTTGTGTAATGCTCGAGTTATCAGCGAATGTGATTTTTTTTTTTTTTTTTTTTTTTTTCGTTTTCACGTTTCCGTCAAGGGACTGATTCTAGCGGAGGAGGATCAATGAATTTGCCATTTCCTCCTCCCTCTCCACCACCAGCTCCTCCTCCTCCTTCTCCATCTCCACCACCACCTTATTCTCCTCCTCTTCCTCCTCCTCCCTCTTCTTTCCTCCTCCTCCTCCGCTTTCCTCCTCTCCTCCTCCTTTACGTACCACCACCACCACCTTTAACAACAACAACAACAGCAGCAGCCCCGAGAAGTCATTCGTTCCTAAAGCGATCGGCCCTGGTGCTTTGGCCTTACACATCGAGCAGAACACTTTGAATCAACGGACGAACGGACAAACGGACGAACGGACGGGGCACGGGAGAACGGATGGCCTTTTGAGGGGATGTGTTGCATAGGTGGCTGTCCTTTTCATTTTGTGTTTTCATTGTTTTTTTTTTTTTTTTTTTTTTTTTTTTTTTTTTTGTATTCGTTTGTCTTGCTTTTGGTTATTATGGCCGCTGCGGGATGGGTATTTGAGAGCAACGTCGAAATTCAGAAAACACTCACACTCACACTCACACTCACACTCACACTCACACTCACACACACACACACACACCACACACACACACACACACACACACACACACACACACACACACACACACACACACACCTCTCTCTCTCTCTTCTCTCTCTCTCTCTCTCTCTCTCTCTCTCTCTCTCTCTCTCTCTCTTCTCTCTCTCTCTCTCTCTCTCTCTCTCTCATTCACTCACCAGACTACCTATACCTCCGCTTCTCTTCCTCTCTTCATTTTCACTCCCTCTATCTTTATATTTCCATCCATCCCTCACTCTCACTCTCTCTCTCTCTCACTCTCTCCATTTACTCTCACTCTCTCCCATTTACTCTCACTCTCTCCCATTTACTTTCACTCTCTCCATTTACTCTCACTCTCTCCCATTTACTCTCCTCTCTCCCATTTACTCTCACTCTCTCCGTTTACTCTCACTCTCCATTTACTCTCACTCTCTCTCCTATTACTCTCACTCTCCTCTTTACTCTCTCTCACTCTCTCCCGTTTACTCTCACTCTCTCCCATTTACTCTCACTCTCCCATTTACTCTCACTCTCCCGTTTACTCTCACTCTCTCCGTTTACTCTCACTCTCTCATTCACTCTCACTCTCTCTCCGTGGAAGTGTTTCCCGGTTGCTTCGGAGGAGGTGTCCGTGGGAGGGTGTAAAGTGGGCTGATATTCGAGCCAGTGCCCCCTGCCCGCCCAAGGTGAGCGGGGGAGGCAGCCCAGCCCTCGAGACCTACCTCCGCGAGCGCCCCGGCCGTTGGTAACGGGAAATGGTCGTGGAGGCGATATCCTCCTTCTTCTGATTGTTTTTTTCTCTTTTGTTTTGTTTTGTTTTCTCTTGTTCCTTTCTTTTGTTTTGTTTTCTTTCTTTTGTTTCTTTTCTTTTCTTTTCTTTCTTTTCTTTTTTTTTTTTTTTCTTTTCTTTTCTTTTTCTTTTGTTTTTTTCTTTTCTTTTCTTTCTTCTTTGTTTTGTTTCCATTTCTTTCCTCTCTTTGTTTCGGTTGTCTCCTTTCCTCTCTCTTCTCTCCTCTCCCTTCCCTTCCCTTCCCTTCCCTTCCCTTCCCTTCCCTTCCTTCCCTTCCCTTCCCTTCCCTTTCTTCCCTTCCGATGAAATAGGGGAAAATTCACGTTCAGGCGAGAATCTTGTCCATATTTGGGAGTCATGTTCGTCACAAATACAAGCAAGTGCCCCGCACACGCACGCGACTTTCTTCCTTATAATCTCCTTCTCACCTCTTCGTTTCGCTCGATATAAGGAAGAAGAAAAAAAAAAAAAAAAAAACGGGAGGCGGAAGAGTGAACTTTGACTTCTCGACGCACACTCACCAGCATGACATTCCTTCTGACGTCACTGCCGATGACCTCCTTCCTGTGACGTCACAGCCGATGACCTCCCTCCCGTGACGTCACAGCCGATGACCTCCCTCCCGTCACAGCCTATGACCCTCCCTCCCGTGACGTCACAGTCGATGACCCTCCCCTCCCTCCTCTCATCTTAAAAGCGAGTTTGTAGGCATCAATGGGGGAAAAAAAAAGTTACAAATAATTGTATTAGAGCCTCCCCAGGGATTACATTTCGAGAAAACGGGGGGGGGGGGGGACGAGAATAATTGACGATTCGTTTCCTTATTCTGTTTTTGGTCATCCTGTTTTCTTTTTTCTTTTTTTTCTGTTTTTGGTCGCTCCTTTTATGACGTTGCATGATCTGGCACAAACTTTTGACGTGACCTTCGACCTTTTTTTTTTATGTGGTGTTGGCTTGCCCCGTGCCACCATAGCTAGATATTGAGACAGAGGAGAGAGAGACAAGACAAAGACAAGACAAGACAAGATATGATAAGATAAGATAAGACAAAAGACAAAATAAGATAGACAGCTGAAAAAACAACAACAACAACGCAA